CACTGTTTACATCTTGGTGCTTTTTAAACTCTAGATTTGAACTGGATGAAGAATTTTAGTTCATCGGATGTCTGGATCTTCAGTTATCAGATAAAACAATGCTGAGCTAACGTTAGCAAGCAGCTCGGCTCGCAGCGCCCTCCGGGACGTTTGAGATGTTTTAAGAGAAAAATGAATATTTGTGGAGCTCTAAACGTGTGGCTGCATCCAGTTCTTGAAGTATTCAGATTAAATACAAATTTTCTGTAATTCGATGTATTATGTTACTAATTACAAAAATTGCCCTGTAATTCGTACTCAGTAACATTACATTTTAAAGGAATCTGACCCAACTCTGCTTGTCTCCCAGCTGAATTCTGATAAACAGTGGAGAGAGTAAAGAGTTAATTCTAATCTTAAAAAGCAAGTTACCTGTCAACAGCTGTCACACAGGGACAGCATTACTTAGCTTTTTATTACTGTCCATTTACCCACTGTCGTTTCACAAAGTGAAAGCGTTTTTTACAAGTTGTCAGGAAGGTACTTTTACGGCGGTGTGTCATCTTACTGTATCCTCTCCTTTTGCTCAATATATCCTCTGGCTTTTCTCTGCTTCTCACCCCACCCTCCCCTCACCCTCCCCGCATATGGGATTCACATTTGGCTTCGCCGAACATTTTCTTAATGTGATATTATGATACATTATCTGAAGCCATTCACTCCCTGTCACCACCTCTCATGTGCACACAAGGCGAGTAAGCCAAGGAGAGGCTGTAAGGCTCTGTCCAGGTGAGTTATGGCCGTTTCATTTGACACTGTTCACAGTGGTGATCATTTACGGTGCCTGAAAGTGTAATCAAAATGCAAACTGTGCTTACGTGGGTCTCTCACTCTCTTTTCTCTCCAGGAGCCTGTTGGTGGTGTATAAGTTTTCACCCTCTCCTGCTGCCGGCTGTAAATCGCCTCTGTCGGAGGTGTGTGTGTGTATATGTGTGTGTGTGTGTGTGTGTGTGTGTGTGTGCATGAGTGAGGGAACAGAAGGTGAGAAATTTGGGGGTCAACCGAGGTCTTTCAGGTAATTGTGCTTCTTAAACTTTTGACCCACTAAGCCCTACTTAGTGTGGTGCAGCTCGCTCCCCTTATTTCCCCCGAGAGTTTTGACTCTACATACCAAGGTGTGTGTGTGTGTGTGTGGTGTGTGTGTGTGTGATAA